CTCCTGTGTAAATGTCGATCACTAAAAAGTGACGCGGCTTTGTTTTGGGTGCAGGTGATGGTCGTAGTGCTGGGGAACAAAACAGACCTGCGGGAGCGTCGTCAGGTGGAGCACGAGGCAGCGCAGCAGTGGGCGCGAGGCGAGAAGGTGAAGCTGTGGGAGGTGAGCGTCACCGAACGCACCTCGCTCATCGAACCGTTCACGCAGCTCACCAGCCGCCTCACGCAGCCTCAGAGCAAGTCGGCCTTCCCGCTGCCTGGACGTAAAAGCAAGGGGTCCCCATCCAACGACATCTGACACACTCCTTCCTGCGTTCACTGCCAGCAGCACGCCGTGGACGGGATCTCGGTTCAGCAGTGGGACTCGTTTAACCGTCTGCTTGATGACATAATTGATGGCCTGCTTCGAGTACAGCCTGGAGGAAGGTCACACAGGAACTCCTGATACAGGATGTACCGTTTTTCTTTTTTAACTTTTTAAGTGGTAACGACACGCTGGAAATATCCAGGTCATCCTCCCAGCGCTGCTGCGGTCACTGATCTCTGCGCAGAAGCTCAGAAGAATTTTATGTATTTTTATTTAAATAGTTTCTTCTGACTGCAGTTTCTCGTGCTCATCATGACGTCTGCCAAGTTTGTTGATGAAACTACAGATGGACGCAGCCTCTGTGACATCACCACTTCATCAAGTCTCATTATGAAGCCGTAGACGTGTCTTTGCTGTCAGGATTATGAAACGAAGGTGGTGACAGCGAGAGGTGGAGCTCACTGTAACACCACACCTCATTGGCTAACATGATTGGCAGGTAGTTAGCTAATGAGCTACAATGAGCTAGAATAATCAGATTATGTGTCCACTGTGAAGTGAAACTAAGTAATCCAGGTGTTTATGGTCACAGGCGGCTCTTTTCCAGGAATGAGTGTCCTGAAAAAGATGGCAGGTTTGCTGTTTCTGATTAAAACCTGTGCTCACTCTTGTTCGTCCTTTGAGTTAGGCACCTTTGAATGATTCACAGATCAGTGTTAAACAGCAGATCTGAAGAAAGCTTTGAAAGAACTTCAGGAAGCCACGAATGATCGCTCAGGAGTCTGGAAATGAGGGAGCTTCACGCGGCACATCTGGAGCTAAAACGTCAGAAACGTCTCTGCTGTGATGATGAAACGTTCTGTTGGATCCTTTATCGTCTGTACCTGGTAATGTGGACGGTGACTTTAACTGAACCAAATATTAGAGAGGTGTCAGGGCCCAAACCTGGAAGAGAAGCAGGTGTTGAAAGCTGCGTGATCACACGGGGAGGTTCAAACCATCTTAACAGTGGAGAACCAAAGATTTGGCAGAGTTTGACCCCTAGCGTTACACATTAAGCAGACGTGTTGTTATTAAATTTCAGATTTGAGCGCTCCCTTCAAAAACAGGAAGCCAGTACAAACCTGTTTCCCATTGAGTGTGAACGCCGCGTCCTTCCTGTCCTCTGACACGACTGCGGCGGTTGGCCTGGTAGCAATAATAGTCGTGGTACTGCCTTTTCTCGCGATGTTTCATGATGTTTCCTGTACACGTGCAGTCGGTTTAATCCCACAGGGATGCGTTTGCCTTTCTAACTGTAGACGACGTCGAGAGGAAATATTTTTAATTTATTTTTGTCACTTTATTGAGCCTCTTTGTGAAAATGGTGATGGATGATGATCTGACGTGTCCTTAAAGTGTTTTAACAGTAATAACATTTAATGTGCTGCTAGTAGAACAGAGGTGGAATATCTTAGCTAACGTACTCTGCTGTGTAACAGGCTGAGGATGCACTGAATAAAACGTTATCAGCTCCTGAAATGATGGGAAACAAGTGGGTCGCTTTGGTTGGTCATGTTTAATCCTTAAAGGGAGAAACAGTGCTGCTCTTCATCGGTACAGAACACAAACCACATCCATCTAAACACGTCTACATGTGGAAACAACTTCCTCTAAGTCTGAGCGCGGCCCTCGGGTCCCAGCGCAGTTATCCCAGTGTGAGTGGCTGCTCGCTGTGACAGAAAACCGTCAGACGGTCACTTCAATATGTGGATGAGCTGAAGCAGAAATGCTGGTAAACGTTAGCTTCTCTTTATTCTCAGCAGCACACAAATACTGAGACGTGCAGCCTGTGAACGACGGCTGCAGCTCGCAACACTAACTGGAAGTTTAATACAAGTGGAAATTTACACTGACACCACTGACTGGGAATCATGCTGACACGTTTCATCTAGTTAAGTATTAATGCCCGTCGTCGAGCACGGGCGAACTAGTCAAAGACGCTAAATGTGCTACTGCCAGATCTGATTATAGTCAAAGGATAACTTAAAATACAATAAACAACATAATGTCAGGATTGAAGACTTCAGTTCCAAGATTAAAAACAAATCCGCCTCCCGGGTCGTCCAATCAGCAGCGGCTCTATGTGGCGTAGCGTTTGGTCCACTGTTTGGCTATCCTGTCGTGTTCGGGTCTGTTTGTTGTGTACTGTGTGGCGATGCTTCCAACCAGAGGGTCAGCTGTCAACAAAACAACAACACGTTACTTTATTTACACACCTCAGCTGTACACGCAGACCTGTGTGTGGGTGACGGATGATCTGATATCGTCGTGTTGGTGTTGTTCCCAGATCATCATGAAAATGTTGTTCCAGGTTCAACATTGCAAGTGACCAATCACATTATTGTGACGTTATTCTTTTGCGCACCAACCCATTCGTGCATTTATGAAATTCCAATGTTGCAAGGACGATATCAGTTCTGCTTAGTGTTTATTAAAGGGTTAGGGTCAGGGTTAGGGTCAGTTGATCGGCGGACAGAGGCGGTTTCTCGCAGCTTAAGTACAGTTTTTTGTTTTACGCCGGTTTTTCCCAAAGTCGCAAAAGTATGACATCACAACATTCTGATTGGTCACTTGCAATGTTGATCCTGGAACAACCTTTAGTATGATGATCTGGGAACAACACCAACACGAGGATATCAGATCGTGTGTGGGTGACAGTCCTGTCTGGGATGAACCGGTCACACACACAGACACACACAGGCTGAATGTCGTGTGTGTTTTTGTTGTTACGTAGAATAAAACCCTTCTGGCCCCGGACGCTCCACAGTGCTCACCGTGGACACACACTGGTCTGAAATGCTGCCTCACTGAGCGCTCACAGTTATTCTACCATTGAAGCTACACGTCGTGACTGATGTAGAAGCCAGTGGTCAAACCAGTACTTCCCACTGCACCACCACGCCACAGGAGTTTAACCTGATCAGTTACATTGTACCACAGCTTCCTGTGAAGTCCTACATGTGTAAAGCATGAAAACAGCAGGACAAAAGGTCTTTATTCATTTTAAAGCTGGATCACATAAAAAAAATGGTGCTATTTTCAGTTTTTACGTGGCAGCTGTTGAACACACCGTGGAGTATCAGAACTGCACATTATGTTAAGTACAAGAGAAGCTTTCCTAATGACTGAGGGTGACTGAGAGAAACAGCATTGCTGTCGAGCTTTTCAGACCTGCTGATTCATTTGACTACGGTAAAGCTGCAGCAAGCCGCACGTGCATCTAAACTGATGACTTAGCGCTCTGCTGCAGGTCAGAGGAGAAGCTACAACTGCAGTGAAGACACTGGCC